GGGGGTAAATGAAGATCTGAAGCAAGAAAATGTCAGCAACCAGAGGTAAGCCTGCATCTAGAGGTAAATCAAAGACAATCTATTTCATTGCTCTGGAGTTTAGATATCCTGGCCACTAACTTAACCTCTGGTTCCATGTGGTAAAGGAGCCGCACTAGAACAATGGTGAATTAACATCAGGGCAGTACTGAAATCCTATCAAAGTTGGGAAGGAGTACAGGTACGAAGGAACTATGTATTCTGTAAAAAGGCATACCTATAAATATAATTAACTGAAACTCCTGAAATGCAAAAAAACTAGAGAGGAGAAGTGGATGAGAGTATGCTATGGCTATTTTTTTGTTAAATGGTAATGACAGAGCTATTGATCTGTTTTCTATAATGCTAGGAGAAAATAACTAAAGGCTGAGTGAAAGTAACTCAGAAAAAATCTCTAGAAAAAAAGAATAAAATGTTTAACTTTTAGGCAGCAGATGAAAATTTTATGTATCTAATGATAAATAGGTAAAAAGATAAAACAAAAACAAGAAGAAAAGATGGAAACTGTAAAATATGAAATAATTCAGCAGATTTAAGTTCTAATATTATAGTGATTTAAGTAAATATAAATAGGTTAAACTCACCAATTAGCTGACAAAGACTCCCAGGGAAGTTAGTACAAAGGTAAGATTTAGGAATAGGTGGACTACAGAAAACAGATTTGAATAAGAAGGTACAGAATGACTAAAAACAAAAAAATATATAGAAAATAGATGCTTTGAAGTAAATACGAAGCAAAAGAAAGGCAGTGTTGAATTTTTACAATCAGATAAATTAGAATTTGGGGTAAAATGCATCATAAGCTACAAGAGAGGTGTTGCAATAAACCATGAAGTTGTAACAATCCTGAACATATATGTACATAACAACAAAGATGTAAAATATATAAAACTATAATCGACAGAATTATAAGAAAAATACTATAGCTTTTGATTTATCATATACTTTTCAAAATTAGTTGATAAGACAAAATGCAAACCGGGCTATAGAAAAATGTGTTTGTATTATTACTCCTATGTAAATTAAAAACATATAATTTTCACACCCAAAATAGAATATGAGTGCTTTTTGCATCCATGAGGAATATTTAAACAAACCTGTTTATGAATTAAGCTACAAAAGCCTTGAAAATTCTAAATAGCTATTATTTGGAATATCTTTTCTGACCAGAGTTAGAACCCAATAACCAAAGAATAGCAAAATACAGTTCCATATGTCTAGAAAATAAAATATTCCACTAAATAATTTTTGTTAAAGAAGAAATCCCAAGAGAAAATAGATCAAAGTGACAATGGCATTCTAAATGTAAAAAATTCTGACATGTAGCTAAAACAATATTCAGAAAAAATTATACATGTAAATTATATTTACAAATACTTACAGAATGCAGGAGTTATCAAAAATAAATGTATTGGTATTGATTAATACCAATAAAGGCGACAGGATGACAAATAAAGATATTGGTAGGAAGTAATAAAATAAGTATTTAAAAATTTTTAAAGTATTTTTTAATTTAAAAAGAAAATAGGAACATAAAAGATAACATTACAGATAAAATTCTAGAAAAAACAACAACTAAAAAGTGAAACTATTCAAATAAAGAAAAGAAAGAATAAAAGAGTAACTAATTATAGATATTAAAGATTACAGTACTTTATTTTTTAATTTAATTTTATTGTTTAAAGTATTACAAATAGTAGTACATATGGAAAATTATATTATAAAATATGTTAAGAAATATGAATGCCTGGGAAATACATTTGAAATGTATTTTTGAGAAATGCAAATATATCAAAATTGGCCCAAGAAAAATCTGAAACCTTGGGTAGAGTATTAGCTATTATAAAAGGTATTTAAAATCTTCCTCCACTAAGGCACAGTTGGTTTTAAAGCTGAGTAATGACAAACTTTCAGGGAACAGTAATTTCTACCTTATGCAAATCATTAAGTCTCTTATTAAAGTCATTTCTGAAAATAGAAAAGTAAAGAAATCTTGTTAACTTATATCAAAGCGAATATAACCTTTGTGGCAGCTTTTGGTTAATCCACTCTAGTGAAGACTTTCTGTTACAGGTGGGCACTTATGTAACTAATAAGGGGACTATAAATTTTTAGAGGTCAGAAAAAAAAGACTTGAATTAAACAGTTATATTCCATAAGCTGGGATTAAAAATGTCAAAGTGATAAAAATGCCAGTTTTCTGCAAGTTAATTTACTAGGTTAATGTAATTATAATCAAAATTACAGAGAAGTTTTTTTTTCCCAAGGGAATTAATAAAGTGATTCATATGTTTTCTTGAATAAGTCAAAAAGTAAAGGAATATCTAAAGTTAGATAGACCTGATTTATTCCAACAATGTTTAAAACATATTCTAATAATACTTCAGCAAAGAATGAGAAAATGGAACAGAATATGAAGGCCAAAAGCAGTCCAGAGTGTAAACACACAAGTTCAGTAGCTAATAATGCTGAACCTCCAACAAGAGGGAAAGGGGTAAATCAGTATTTAAGAAAAGTGTGAGCCATCTTGTTAACTATTTGAAAAAATTAAGCTAATTTTTGTACACAAAAATTTCCAGTATATGCTTAATAGCATTCATTCACCAAATATTTAATCACTATCTTCCCAGGACTGTGCAAAGGCTGAGGATACAACAGTGAACAAAGCCAGAGGAGCTTAGAGTCTACCAGGGAAGATACAGAATAGGCCAAAAGCAGGACTGATGGAGATGTCAGTGTAAAGTGCTTTGCCCAAATAGCATGACATGTACTTTTGCTTGAAATAATGTAATTAAGGGAAGCCTCTGTAATATGAGACTTTGTACAGATTCCAATAAGCATGACTACCCACCTCCACCCCAGGTTTTGTGCATAATCTTATGAAAAATATCTGGTGCTATACAGTATTTGGACGTGTATCTTAATCACATAACCAAAGTTAAAACTAACAGTGGCACTGTATGAGATATAGATGCTATGTAAGAGTGCCATGTAGTTGATACTCAATGGCAATCTCCCAAATATGTTAATGCTAAATATAAAACAAAAGAAAATCAATAAATTATAAGTGAAATGGTGTGGTATTTGGTTTGAAGATGTCAGTTAATCTAGAAATCCCTTATGAGAAATGGTCCTAAGATAGGCACTGCTGTATGTAAGGGAATTCTGAGTTTTGTGAACATTACAGAATAGTGTACTTCGTTGTACTGAGACAGTCACATCTGACTTAGAACTAGGAATAGTTATAAATCATATGAAAAATCCATGTATTTTGCCTCAAGGACTCTGTGGACTATATGAATGAAAATGGTTCAACCTGACTAATAATAATGGGTGGAAAGGATTGGGCACTCTCAACTCATAAGTACATTTCTGCATCAACCAAAAAAGCCATTCTGGTTCAATTTCACATTAAATATCACAAGTCCCCCAAATATTCATATTCTTTGATTTAATAATTCCAGTGTGAGAAATTATCCTAAAGACAAGTGCAAATGTATTTACTGCAATTTTACTTTTAATAATAATAATCATAAGAAGACCTGGAAGTAAATAAAATATTCCCCCAAAAAGGAATTAGAAAGATAAATCATGAAAAATCCGTAAGATGAAATAGTGAAGAAGCATTCGTTACGGAAGAACATTTGGTGACATGGGAAAATCCTAACACTACAAATTTAAATATAAAGAGTAGGAATTTAACACACTCTATATTATATAATCCCAAATACCACAACATTGGGATTATGAGAGATTTTTTATATTTATATAATTTTGTATTTTCCAAAACTCTAAAATGAACTTAAGTTTGTTGGTTGGTTTGTTTTTACATAAAAACTTATACTTGAAAAGTATATTCACCTTGATACTGGTCTCAAAGATGTAAATTTTGTCATAGGAATTAAAAAGTCAACATTTTAGGCATATATAGCATAACATCAAAATGTACAAACTTGACCTATTTATGATATAGCAAAATTAAAAATTCCAAATGAAAATTAGAAACTACAAATAAAATCAGTAATCACAAATCTGCAATTATCAAATTTACTTTTCAAGTAAAAAAACCTCCCCGGAAGTGGTCAAGTCCCTAACAGACTTGAAACCACAGAACAGTGGTTTTCGAGCCTTCACAATGGAGGACGTTCCCTAAGACAATGAAGAATAAACTGCCTGTGGACACATTCACCACTATTTCCCTTTTAGGTCTTGGAGTTCTGAGTAGTTCAGACAGCTCCTGCCTTGAGAGCACTGATCTCAGGTTTCAAGGGGCATCTCTCAGACTCCCCTGCCTGTCTTAGACTCATGGGAGGTATCAGCAGAAAGAGAGAAGGGACTGGGTATACATCACCCTTGCCCCCAAGATGTAGTTTTTAGCAGTGGCTACACCTTACAAAGCTGCAGATGTTGAATGGCCCTCTTTCCAAAAAGGTCATCTCCCTCTTTACCATTAAGCCAAAAGATGGCAATAGCTTCACCTTCCCTTGGTAGTTCCACTAGCTTTGTTTGAAGTTCATTCACTACTTTCTTCAATTAAACCATTTGGTTATATCATCTGACTGCTGTTGGGACCTTATCTATTTTAGGAAAAGGAAAAAAAACCAACTTCTTAAAACCACTGTTTTAGAGGAAAGCTTATCACCAGGCCCCAAACTCCTATAAAACTGAAAAAATATAACATGAACTTATCATGAAAACTGCACATTTAAGCTACAGCTTGAAATTATGGAATAGGCAAGTTGTAAGCTGTCACTATGACAAATAACAAGGGTTTAAATTAATGATTGTAGAACAAGAGCCACTTAAATTTTACCTTGAAATTCAATGTGATTCAAGACAATTCTTTATGAAAAGGCTCTATTATGAAAACTGATAAATCTTACTACATTTTTCAAACAAAAATACACACTTAATAATGAAATGGACGGCTATAAAAAGTACTTTGCGGACCAGCAGCTTACCTCTTTGAACTTGTGACTGAGCTTGGTGGTGTCCAGGTCTGACGGGGAAAACATGTCCTCGTTCTCGGGCAGCTCGAAGACTTCAATGGCCATGTCACTGCCGGGAAGGGTGGGCCCCTCCTCATCCTCCTCTTCATCGGTGGCATAGTCTCCTGTCTGGAAGGAAGGGGGTTTCAGAACTCTAGCCGCCCTCCCCCAGGGAGAGATGGGTGATTTGAAAATAGTTTTTATAAAAGAGAAATAAAGTGGTAAAAGTGTAAGTAGGCTTCTAAGTCAAGCATGCCTCATGCAGCCAATGTTATAAACAGATGTTAGTTCAAAAACTCAAAGTGACATGTCTATGCCATGTATAAGTGCATTTCTGAAAAGCTACTGTCATCATCAGCATCTCTAGTATAGCAACAAGAATTGCTCTTAATCTAAGTATTTGATGGTTTTATTAAATAAAATAACTCCTTTAAATTCTCACTGCCCATGTGAATAAGTCACCCGATACTAGGCGCGCGGAAAAAGGAAGGGGAGATCAAAAGATTCACAGAATTGAAAGGGACCTTAATGAAATCCTACAAAAGTGTAGTAGATGAATTCACCTAAGCTTTAGAATGCAATCATTCTGTCTCATTTATTTAACTAATGTGGTTAACTACTGACCTAAAGGATAACCCCAAGGTTTCTAAATTTACAGTCCACATGAGTGTATTGTTTTGCCTGCAGAGTACTATGATAAATCTTAGCATTTCGTCAATGCTAAAAAAAAAAAAAAAAATTCACATAATACTCTAGGTTTCCAGTTTTTCTTGAGAAAGCACATTATAACATGATAACAATTAGCCAGAGTCAGCAGTAGTTACCCCTTTTGGCTGGGTCACACACTTTCTAATACACCACAACTTCTGCAACTCCATATTGTTCCATGCTGTTACCTTCCCTCCTTCATGATATCCGCAGGCCCCTAAGGTATCTAAGTTCATGACCCTGGGATAAACGTTCCTCCTCACCACTAACTTCCTTAATATTAAAAGGTAGCTCTGCTCCTGGCAACATCGGGCTATGAGATGCTAATTCAAAATAACTGTTTGAGATCTATAGCTTATGATATAATTGAAAGATAAATCACTGATTCAACAAAAAACAAAGTTCATTTAATTCATCTTTGCTCCTTCAGGTAGTCCCATCTAGAACATAAAACAGATAAGAAGAAATATTGCCTTTAAAAAAAAACTTTCATAAACAGTGTAGTGAGTGATCTATTCCTTTGGTTAAATTGGCTTAGCATCTGATTGCTTTTTTCTTTTTTTCTTTTGGTTCTGTGCAATGCTCTTGCTAGAGCTGAAACTCCATTTCTTTCACTATGTTTGCATCTGAAGGAAATATGATCATGAACCTCAATGTAATAATTCCTCATGTCTGGAAGATCACTATTAAACTGCCGTTCCGACTTCTCCTTTTGAGGTAAAACAACTGCAGAATTCTCATGGGTCTCAGTCTATGTGATTATCTCTGAACCTGTATTCTGATTCTAAGTTTTCCACATTTCTCTTAAATCATGGAGCCCAGAAGTAGACACAATTTCTAGTAAGGAATCCGAGGGCCATTGTTCACAATGAACAAAGTGTCTTGGCATCTTCAGACTCTACTTCCCACACAGAGGTTATTATCATGAAGACCTTGACTGGGGTGGTATTTGTATAACAGGACTCACCAGAAACCAGTGTTTAAAAAGTCCAAGCTATAACTACCATTCCCAGTGTCCTAGGCCCTGACAGGAAAGGTAGCTGAAGAGTGGGGCTGGTTGGTTCCAGAGAGCTCCCACTTGTTGGTATAATTAGATCCTACAAATCTTAACAGAACTCTTACTCTAGATTTGATACGGGGTGTGTTTTGTTTTTTTTTCTGTGATAGTCTGTAAATTAATTCACCTCCAATTTCTATATGTATTTAGAACCAATAGAAACTTTATAAATCCAGCTGATGTTAATCAGTAGGAATGTAGCAGGGCTGGTACGTGCACAATCTCAAGACACCTTGCTGAGAGTTTTGATTTAGAGACATAAAATGCTGTGCTTGTTTTTAACCCTATAATTATAACTAGAAGCACAGCCACACTTTTATTATGAAGGCCTAAACCAGGTATATAAAATTTACGTCTATATCATCAATGTGATGAATGTCATGAGTGACTCAATAAAATCTTCAGCTAAATTTAAAGTCTGACAATGATGTAGCACATTTTAAACATACAAGTTGAAATGTACATTATCTTCATAAATGTACGTTATTAAGAAGTCTTCCTCTTGATTCTTTTTTTTGACTTCGCCAATTTTCTTTCTGTCTCAATATCCAAATTACCTGCAACTCTGCTAAAATACTTTTTATTTTTCATTGCATCTTTTTATTTACTAACATTGCTCTTTCTAATTAGTATTATAAGCATGCTGAGGATCAGATATGTCTTTTATTGTCTTGATTATATGAATTACTTATTAGAGGCTCTGGATAGGGCATTTAAAAACTCATGTTGCTGTTCTCCCTCACTGATCAGTTACTGTTCCCATCCTGAACCAGCTTTAGACTAAAGGAGGCATTTACTACAGAACCTCAAACATCTAGGAGTTTAACAGTTACATCTAGTAGACTAAGAATAATGTGTGCATCTGATTCTTTTATCTACTTTGAAAATAGGCATTACTTTTACAGTAAATCTGCAAGTGAAATAAATTACATAGAATGATATGTCAGCAGAATTCCATAAACCTCAAAATTAGATTGAACTGAATCTGAAGTTTACAAAGGATGATGGACAATGATGTAGAAAAAAGCAACTGCTACAACAAAGTATTCCATCGGCATCCAGTTCCTTATCTTTATTTCTAGCCAGTTTCAACATCTTTCATAAAAAGACTCTTGAAGGGTTCTTTGTCCCAACTTGCAAGTGCACTTTAAATGAGGCAAGAATAGTTCTTCATGTAAGGAATGAAGGGACAGTACATGTTCCTTTTCATCTCCTTGTTTGCCTTCTTGCTTATTAGCTTATACTTTTTAATAACCCCCCCCCCAAAAAAAGGGGGGGGGCAAAAAATTAACAACAATTATTTTTATAACTTACTGTGTGCCTGACACTGTACATTTCTTAAAAACTGGATGATATGGGTTATTACTATGCCATCTTAATTTGAGGAAACTGAGACTCAGAGACTTTACCCAAGGTTAGACATTCAATTATGTGCTTGAAGCTACATCTAACATATTCCAAAGCCCATGCTCTTTTTCCTATGCGATGCTGCCTGCAGTCTACATGAGCTAAAGCTCTGCAGATAAAAAAACCAGAAATACATTCCTTTCATATTTCCCCAGCCAAAACCCTAGTGCATAATCCTGTTGTGTTGAGATTCCCCTTCCACATCTTTGAACATTATCATTCAATTCACTTTGAAGATGTGAAGAGTGTCTCTGATGAGCTCCAAAGTTCTTATCCTCTTCTTTTCTCTCATAACATGCTCACCCTGGGCAAGAGCATAGAAATCTCCTTCAAAAGATTTAGCTTACGGACTGGCTGACTGATGTTTCACGCACTCTTTCTTGTGTAAACCAGAACTATAGCGTACAGTCTGTAGAATTACTGCAGTGTCTTAAAGTGGACAAAACCCCTATTTGCAAGGCAGAATGAGTGTAACATTCCGCTAGGTGTCTATGGTTTATATCTCTTACATTTCCTTCTCACATCTAATTTTCTTGAGCTACCAGTCTTTACTGAATCTTCCCTAAGCATTTTATCTCATTTTCACAGACACACTTCCTTTACACTCATATTACTTACAGAATTAGATATTTCATTAAAATACACATTTATAATAATAAGTAGAGCTGTTCTGCCTCTTAGTAAACATGTAACTTTTGACTGGTGGGGGCAGAAGCGAGTGGACATACTAGAGCCCTAACACCCAGGAAGGCTGCGGATCTCAGCCCGGGTTGTACAGAGGAACAGACAGATCTGTTATGTTGGTGAGGTTGTTAAATGGCGACCAATGAAAGAATCTTGGTTTTGAAGTTGCCCAGGCCTATGTTCAAATCCTGGCTCTGTGATAACAAGGTTGTCATGAGATTAAATCAGATGGCGCCTGTAAAGTGTTTGTGAAAGTCCGGCACATGGTAGGTGCTCAAAATGAGCAATTGCAGCTTGTTGCTGCTGCTGGTACTAATACTGTAACAGCAACATGCTAAAGCTCTCCAATCTACCTCATATCCGGACATCTGCTAATATAATGTCCTAAACGACCTCGCCACTAGTCTTTTATAAGCAAATCGGTCAGTCATTTCTGAAGTAAAATGTCTCTATCCCGTAAACTTGCTCATCCTCTTATATTCCCGGTTTTGAAGTAGATACCAGCTTCTATCCCAGAAAACATCCAGGCCTCTGTTCTCGTCATGTAACTGGATCCCCTCCTACCCCAGTGATCAGAAGTGAATATCCATCTACTTAGCACATCCTGTGAAGCTGCAGCCTTAAGACTCTTCTAATTCAACCCTTTATGTTTCTGCTACATGTCTTATATCACTCATAAAAGTTGGCTATTTGAGAGTGCTGGGTAGGGTTTATTCCTGCAATGCCAGGGTGGCTAGCACACTGCTTGGCACATAGAAGGCACTAAAGAAATGTTTGCTGAATAAATTAATAGTCATAGCTACATCTGCATAGCATGGCAGAGCCTAATTTTCCTGCTAATTCTCAGCTTTCAAGTAAGAAATACAGTGAAGCACAGCTGTAGCTGAGGCCCAAGTGACCCTTTGGGGGATTTTCTCTTGTTGTTAGGCTCAACCATTAGCAGTAATTTTTGCTGTAGCAATGTTTGCTCTGGTAAATTCAGGGAAACTAAATGGTGCTAATCATAAAAATAGCCTTAATTACGCAGTTTGTGTTGGCATTTGTTTATCGGATTTGAATTTGGTTATGTATATTTTCAGACTCAGTTCTGTGAATGAATAGGAGAGAGTTGCTTTTTATCTAGAGAAGAAAAGACCTCAAACTAACACTTTAATGTTTAAAATTCCTAAATCTGTGCCAACCATCCAGATGGTTTTCAGCACAGTATCCCCTTCTCTGCAAAGGCCTCCCTCTCCATTTGCTGTCAGTTGACTTCTGTGTGCCCTAGTTTTGT